GACCGGGAGTACCAGATACCAACACAACCTTGGTGGACTCACTGGACAGAGACAGGCTACCAAACTCACCAGGTCCAGTATTTAGTTTTGGGTGGGCTGCCAGACTAACTCAGGTACCGACCGGCGTGAGGTCAGGTACCTTGTTAGTCTTCCCTGGGAGGGGGAGATATGTGGCGAAAGTAACCTCGCCACTGGGTTTTAGAGAGGCCTGCTTGCCAGCCTCTTGCCCTGTGACTATGGCCCCTGGGGTGTATTGCCTTTTAAAAACAATATTTGTGAATATTGGGACTTAGCACAATGCCTCTTTAAACTTTCTAAGTGGTCAAAGTGGAACTTAAAACTACCGAACAGCCGGACCACACACAAGTGGAGTGTGCTGCCAATTTGCCTCCCAGGCTGGGAGCTAAACCGCAGCCTAATTGACCAACGGCTGGGTGGTCGGCGTTCATATAGTCGAATACATGGCATCGGCCATATTGTTTATTTGAACGTGTTAAGCTATGTTTTGTCATTGAGTTCATGGAACTCAAATCGGACACACGATGGCACGAACACCGCTGAACACCGCTCAGTTTACCTTAGACTATTCGAACGCCACTTTAACATTGGCTATTTGAACGGCCCCCGTTCGTACATTCAAACTGAACTTAGTATTGGAAATAGACTGGCCGCACAGCCTAATTCTATGGAACTGTTTTGGGCATGAAAATGTGCGTGCGGTTGGTCAAATATGACTTCCAGGAATTTCCTGAACCCCTGCTCTGATCTGGGGGATTTTTGGATATGTTGTTCACCCAGATCAGGGCTATCCAGGGATGTATAATAATGTATATGGGGATATGTGGTGTTTTGGGGTGTTTTCTGTGTTTTGTGAAAAGTTAATTTTTCTGCTTGGGGATAATTGAGTTAATTATAGTATCTTACTCAATTATCTCCCAAGCAGAGGGGAGAGTTTGTGTACATTATCTGGGAGTGTCTAACTGTACAATACGGTTTTGGTTGGCTTTGTGACTTTGTGTCCTGTGCTCCACAAGCTCCACCTGGGTGGTAACCTTGTGAAGAAAACTGTATAAAAGACCAAGCTGTTCAATAATGCCTCAGGTCTGCTGAGTTTCTGTTTTATCCTCAACATAGAGCCTGGCCTCATGTGTGGGGGGAAAGGCTGCATCTACCCTGGGGATTGCTATATAAATATACTCCACAGGGATTATAATCACTAAACTCTTTTAAGAGCTTATTCCTGCTACTCTCTCTTGGAGGAGAGGTTCACCCACTGGAACCTGGAGCCTTGTCGTAGGACCAGCATGGGTATAGGGCGACGAGTTGCTAGCTAAGCTGTAACGCTGGATGTGGGTACTGCGGTGCTGATGGTGTCTGGTGGAGTGCTTGAAGTCCTCAGTGGAGGTACCCAACCGGGGTACAAGAAGCTCCGTTACAGATGGAAATTGTGTAATTTGTGTAATTTAGGTAGTGTTCCAAAGATCATTGTCACGGTTTTGTCAGTGTTTAGGAAGAGTTTGTTTTTTGCGATCCACTTTTCTAACTCTGTAAACTGGTCTTAGAGCACAGCCTCAGGCTGCGGTAGATTGACGTCTGCGTATGTTTTTTCCATTTTTCTTATATATATATATATAAATTTATTTTTATTTTATTTCTTTGCTGTTTTTCTCCCCCTCTTTTTTCTCTCTTGCTGTTTATATTCCCCTCCCTGTGGGTGCTGCTGCTGCTGAGCTAATTAGGGGGACTACCCTTTAATTTCCACCTGTGTGGGATTTGTGTTGCCAATATAAAACCACTACTGACTCACAGAGCTTGCTCACTGGAGTTTGCTTGAAAGTAGGCTATTTAAAGTAGTCTCTTTTAAGTAGGAATTAAAACAACAGGAGTTTTTGAACAATA